AGGTTAGATAAAGGACAGGCAGTCTCAGCCTTCCCCTTGTCAGGACTGGATAGAGACCCCTGTTGCTTTGCTGGCTGCCTCTCTGTTCTCAGGTCTGTTAGCTTCGGTGAATAAAGCCAGGTCCTGGGAGGCAGGCAGTTAAGCCTGGGTACTCCAGCTGTTTATAGAGCTGCTATGCACTCCTGCTGTTTCTGGAGAACAAACACAGCCTGGAAAGTTTCTGACACCAGGACTATGTCCATATTACCTTGGACCCATGGTGCATGACCAGCTCTTTGTGGGATTGCAGAGGCAGATTCTGGGCTGGAAGTCAGGGAGCTTGGGCTGACTGTGCCAGTAATTAGCTGTGTGTGTGCATCCATGGGTAAGTGAAATCCTCTCTCTGGCCTCCAGTTTCTTTTATTTTTATTTTTTCTTTCCACCTAGATTTCAGAGGAGGCCTCCAGTTTCTATGTCTGTTCAAGCTGAAGTTCTCTTTTGCTCTAATTCTCTGTGATGAAAGGGGACAAGCAAGGGGTGGGTAGTCCCAAACATCCAGGAATTAAATATTTACATTTGGCCTACGAGACCATGCACTGAGTTGAAATTCTACCCTTGCCACTTATTAGCTGTGTGTCCTTAGGAAAATAACCTAACTTTTCCGATCCTCAGCTTTCTCATCTGTGAACTGGATATAATCCTTCCCACTGTATGGGGGTTTTTATCAAGCCTAAATTAGGTGACAGATACCGAAGTGGTCTGTTCTCTGCCTGATATGTAGCAGCATATAATAAGTTCTTCAGAACAAGTTGTTCTTCTTATTATTACACTAATACCAGTTTCCTAAAGACACTCTGAGTGATAAGGAAAGAGGCTCTAATTGGGAAAGTGGCCCGAAAGTTTTGGTTGTTGGAAGCTAGAGGGGAAAGAAGCTGAAGGGAGGGGAATCTTTGACCACTGCAGAGAGCATCAGACCTGTGTTTCTTTCACACCTATTTCATGCTGTGTGACTTTGCTCAAGTGACCTTACCATTCTAACCACCAGATCTCTCTCCAGAAAATAGAGAGCTGAACTAGGCAATTTCTCAATTTTTTTTATATCTGAGACTTTTCCCCCTATAGCATCTGCAAAGTAAGTTATACACATAAATAATTAAGAAGCTAGTGGAAAAAAAATCACAGTACATAAGTCTTCATTTAACATCTTGGATAGATTATTGGGAACAGAGTTTAAGTGAAATGACATTTAGCAGTTTATTGAATAATGTTGTTTTGTTATAATGTTGATGAGAAATAAAATGGTTTGTGTTGTAGTCATTTTCTTGAAAGTTGCAGATTCTAAGAACCCATTGGTGATGTTAAATGAGATTCCACTATATTATGAAATGCGCAAGCTTGGAAATAGCACCCCCTGCCCTACTTGGGATTAACTTTAATAAACAGGAAGAAAACTATGTCATTTGTGGTCTACCCTCAAGGCAGCACATCATAGCTGATCCTTCATTTCCTGTCTGAAGATTATTTAGTTATTCTCCAGGGGGCCATCTCTTCTGGGGTTGTCTTGTTGATTATCTCCATTACTGTTAGTTACTATTTTCTCTTGGGGGGAGCTGGGCATGCTATTGGGTTGGATTTCCACTTTTGATAGCACTTAGACTGTTGCTTATGTGTACTTTGTAGGTCCTGGTCCTCAAAACGTTTTAGTCTGTGCTCTTTGGAGTTATAGCAGTGTGGCACAGAACAAACACTTGTCTATGGGATATGAGAACTGGATCTTAATCCTTGCACAGTCACTAACTAGCTTTGTGATATGATCTGTACAAATCTCCATTTTCTCAGCTGTACAATGGGGAACCTAGTATGCCAACTTTACAGAGCCATTGTAAGACTAAACGTTTGGTGAAGGAATCACATGAGAGAGTGAATGTGAAAATGTGCTGAAAATTATAAATGGCATGTAACAATAGCTGGCATCATTGCATGTGCACTTTGTGTTGGGCACTGCACTTTGCACTTTCTGTGCATTATCTCTTAATACTCACAGCAGGCCACACGGTGAATGCTATGGGCATCCCCATTTTCAACAGATGAGAAAGCCAACTTAAATACCTTGGCCAAAATCACAGAGCTGAGCCTCAAATTTTGTCTGGGCATTGAAGACTTTATCTAATTACTCTGCTACACTGTTTCTGTAGAAAGCAAAATGCAGCAGAAGTGAAGTCTGAAAAGGTAGTCAGAAGATGTGGGGTGGGAAGTAGGAGATGAGGGTTGTGGGGGTTGGGGTGGAGAGGAAAGGAGGAAGAAACCAAGCCTCAGAGAAGTCTAAGGATTGCTCAAGATTGCACAGCAAATCATCAATGATAATGTTGGGGCTTCAGTGTCCAGAGTCTCTATCATCATTACCAGCATAAAAAATGTTTAGTGAACATTTACAAAGCAGGTACAATGAAAAACATTTTTCTAGGCTGGGGGCTCACGCCTGTAATCCCAGCAATTTGGGAGGGTGAGGTAGTTGGATCACATGAGGCCAGGGATTCGAGACCAGCCTGGATGATATGGCAAAACCCCATCTCTACTAAAAATACAAAAATTAGCTGGGTCTGGTGGTACATGTATGTAATCCCAGCTACTTGGGAAGCTGAGGCATAAGAATCGCTTGAATCCAGGAGGCGGAGGTTGCAGTGAGTGGAGATCACGCCACTGCACTCCAGGCTGCGCTACAGAGTGAAACTCAGTCTTAAAACAAAACAAAACAAAAAACATTTTTCTCTACATACTACACATAATAACTTAATGATATCAGTATGTTAATTACCATTGGGACTTTACAGATGAAGAACTGAGGCTTAAAGACTTCACAGATAGCTCAGTGTATGTGACTCCAGAGCTGAGCTTTTAACCACTACATGAAGCAGGGCTATACCTATGTTTTTTAGGAATCTGTATGAAGAAATTAGGTCTCTGTTGGTCACTATAGGGAAACAAGTGCAGATATGTGTGCCTATCCTCAAATAACCAGGCCCTTTATAGAACCAGGTAGTCCACTCCCTGACTTGACTTGATAACCACTTACCATTGAGGAAAGAGTGGCAGTGTCAACACTCACTGTACAGATTATGATTAATACAGATGTCAACATGCTTCTGATCTTGGAGGAGGAGAAGAAAAGCACAGGGGCTCATTAAGAGTGCTTGTAAGACATCCATTCAAAAGTGAAAAGAACTTGGCTATTTATTTCACCTGGATACCCAATGCAAAGCACCTGTGTTTGCTCCTAGCTAACAGGTGGGGCCATCTCCATTTGGAAAGAAGAGGTCTGTTACTTTAGGGAGTTTCACCATTTGTCCTCTGAATGTGGGCACAGTCTTCTTGGCCACATCAAGACAGGCCTGTTTGCAAAGGACAGCTTTTAGATCATTTGAAACCTCACCTACAGAACTCAGTGATTTTTGCCAGCCTCGGACTGAAAGTTTGCGTGTAATCTCCATAAATGCTTAGGACCAAATACTGGTTTTAATTGATAGGCAATATAATTGATTTGGTTTATTTATTTAAAAAGCCGTTGACTATCTGTTATTGAATCACTGTGCCAGCTGAGGTCACCACAGAAAACGAGACAAGATACCAGCCCACAAAGAACTTAGAGTAGAGTGACAGGAGGGACACATAAGCAGGCTGGTACAGTGGTGATTGTAAGTGGCAAGTGCTGTTGTGGAAACTGTAAAATGTGTCCTGAGAATGGACAGAAGGGACTCCTCCCAGCCTTGGGTGAAGTGCACACATGAACTCACACACACGTACACACATGTTAGAGTGGGGAGGCTTTCTATGGAAATAATTCTAACCTGAGTCTTAAAGGACGATAGGAATTGGCAAGGGAAAGAAGGCTGGAGTGGGTGCTCTGGGCAGCGGCGTAGCAGCAATCCCCAGAAACCTGTAAAGCAGGGAGTGAGAGACAACCTGGATGGAGAGCAGTAAGCAATCAGTGCAGCTAGAGTATGCAGTGGGAGAGGGAAGAGATGAAGCAGGGTGAATCACAGGGAGCCTCCTCATCTTTGCAAAAGAATTTGGGTTTAACGCTGAGGGTGATGGGGAGCCGTAGGGAGGGTTTAAATCGAGGCAGTGCTGTGGTTAGATTTGTGTTTTGGAAAGGCCAGTGTGGGAAAAAGTAGACTGGAAGGGGGCCAGCTGGAAGCCAATGAGAACCCTTTGCAGTCATGTAAGCAAGCCACAGTGGAAACCTGAAGTAGATTGGGGGCAGGTGGATGTCCAGAAATGGACAGGTCACAGTTAACTGTAGGCTGCCCTGATTATTTTTTCACAAGCTAGATCACTTCCTTAACATAAGTATAATTTGTTTTTCTGTTGAAAAGCAAAAAACAGCTGAGAAATGTTTTAAAGTATCATTATATTTATTTATAATTATTAATGTAATATTCATCCCTTGCAGAAATTTGAAAAATATATAAATACCATGGGAAGAAAATAAAAATTATTCATAAGTTTATAATTCAGAGATAATCACAATTCCAATTTTGGTATTTTTTTTTAGCCATTTCTTCTAGTGTAATTGATTTATTTTAAACTTTTTTTACTGTGAAAAGTTTTAAATGTATTCGACAGTAGAGGAAATATACAATTAACCCAATATACCCATTTCAGCTTCTATAACCAGCAATGAATCTCCTGCCATTCTGCAGTTGAATGTTAAACTTAAAAACAGGTCTTCACATTTTCTTTTACTCTAAAAATTTGACTTGTCGGACAATTTTGTTTCTGTAATCCTGGATGTTTAGCAGGTGCTTGCCCTGCTAACCCTTTAACCATTTTCAGATGTTATATCCTTACTGAAAACATTTAGTGTGACAGTAAAGACATCGAGCCTCATGGTATACCACTGGAGACTTGAAGAAAACCCAGCTGATTCCCCACCTCCTTGGTGGAGACCAATGCAGAGGATAAATATTTCATGGAGAGATATCCCCAGCAGAAACTAACAGCTTGTGTTTTGACTTACTCACCATGGTTGTCTCAGCAATGGAACCAAAGCTGTTGATGAAAATGTTGCAGCTCACATTCACTGGGGGACCTGCCAATCAAGAGAGATTCCTGCTTAGTCCCATGGCCATGGAAGAACCCACAGGATAGGACCCATTCCTAGAACACTGACTTCTGGAATAGATTGCCCTTGGTGGAGGAGATCCTTGCTTGCTCTCTACCTGCCCCCCCCCGCCACTTGGAATTCCCAGCCACCGTTTAACATCTCTATGCCAGATTTCCTGGTCCCCAAGTGAGCACCAGGTACAGAACACCAGAGGCTGAGCTGAGATGTACTTTCATTAACACGGGATGATTCATCATCCTGCCATATGGTTGAAATTCCTTTCCCAAGTCCCATTGGCTGCCTTCTAATTTGTGGCTGAAATATATTTATGACTACAACATTTGGAGGCCATCTTGGGAATCACAAGGAACAGCAAGTTCCTTGCCTTGAACTTATGAACCAAGAATGATAGTCTGAAAGGCATTGACGGGAATTACCAGCTGAGGAATCCAGAAGGAACCTCAAGGGAAGTCTACAGACTTAGTTAAATACTTTCTGAGCAAGTTTTTTGAATCCTACTACAAAGTATAGGAAAGAAATGGAGGATTATTCACTGTTTTGCTATCTCATTGCTGGAGGAAATGTCGTCTCATTGAAGCCCAATCTCTTCACTTTATACTATTAATTATAGCAGGTGCCATTTACTAAACATGAAAGGGGTTACTGCTGTGCTGAGAGCATTAACATCATTTTATCCTCTCAACAACTCCAGGAGAAGGTATGGTTATTACCTTCATTTTACAGGTGAGAAAACAGAGGCTCAGAGAGGTTCTTTGTTCATGGTTACATAACTAGCAAATGGGTGAGCCAGAGTTTGGGTTCAGATTTGTCTAACTCCAAGGGTGCTCATCTGAATGGCTAGTCTGTAGGAAACAGGTTCAGAGGAAGGAAGGGGCATGCTCATAGTCACAGAGACAGTGGCAGAGTCCAGAATTTTCAGTACTGGGTTTCCAAATAAGCTGACAAAAAGGGCTGACATAAAATAACCAAAGGGAAATGCAAGACCATGGGTAAGAGTGGTAAGAGCATCAGGAGTCCAAGTGAGAGAGGTTCTGGAGAATGAAGCAGGAAAGATCTCAGAAAGGTGATGACCTGGAGGTGACTTTGAAGATGAATAGGACGTGGATAAAAGGTCCCAACCTTTCACATGAAGATTGTAATTTGCGATTTGTGATTTTCTTTTCAGATTCAGTTTCTTGATTCCCATGAGGTACTGAGGTAGGCAGGGCAGAATGCTTGTTCCTACTTGACAAAGGTAGCACCAAGAGTTTTGGTAACTCATCCAGTCTCATTTAACTAACAAGTGGTAGAACCAGGACTTGAACCAAAGTTTTCTGATTGTGGAAAGAAGAAAGTAGGTATGTCCTTATGCCCCCTAGCACCCATTGCATTCTGTCCCTCTTGAAAGAGTAGCCTAGGCATTTTGCTCAAACTAAGCTAAGATCAGAAGTCTTGGCATATAGGAGAGGACTTAGTCTTGGGGTGAGAATCCACATTTTTCCTTAAAGGGATTATCAGGACCTCTGGATTTTAGACATAACTTCAGCACTCACTGATTGTTTGACCTTGGCAATGTCCTTTCTCTGTCCTGGGTCTCAATTTCCTCATCAATCTTGAGAGAGAGTAGCTCTTGTTCTAGGTAGTCATTCTCAGCTTCAGTGGTTTGGAATTCCTTTATAGAAGCTATCCATTTGCATTTCAGGGTTATAAGATTTCAGGGCTGGAAGGTTTCTTAAAGCTCACCTCATCAATTTCTTCCCAAACTCTAGTGCAGACAGGGTTATCTGCAGGAGAATCATCTGGGAACTTGTTAAATTACAGATTCTCTGGCCCAACCCCACACTCAGTGAAACCAAATCTCTGGAGGTTAGCCCAAGAGTCTAGTGTTCAGAGAGCTACCTGGGTGAGTCTCATGCACAGCCAGGTTTAGGGACCACTGCTGTAGACTGACTACCCATTCAAGGCTGAGTGCCTGAATACTTCCAGCAGTGGGAAACTGATTTTGTCTTGAGCAACCCTTTCCATAATTGGAGAGCTCTGTCTGCTAAATATATTTTTCCATGTGCTGAGCAGAAGTCTGCCTCCTTGTCACTTCCACCTAAACAAAGGTCAGGTGGAAAAAACCTGAATGGTCAGAATTTTTCTCCTTCATTTAGACTCAGACCTGTTTTTTTTTTGCCTCACGCCATTAAGATACCCCAAGGAGTTTCTGCCTATGCCTTGGAATGACGTGCACAGAGTTCTCACCCAGTCCCTGCAAGTGTCTGGCACTGTGACTTCCATATAAATTAGATTCTGATTTATGTGTGTGAGGGGGTGCAGGCCAAAAGGATCCTATGGGGAGGTGCGATTCATTGAAATAAATCTGAAATTAAATTATCCTCGAGAAAATTACAATCCAGCTGCCTTTTGCAGCAGGATAATGTATATATTTCATTAAATATTAAAGTTTAATTTTGCTATTGTGTATTTATTTGCATTGGGCTGTGCCCCTGATCCTAGGAGCCATTATAATTTACAAAATCATATGGAAGACACTAGCAGAGCTGGAATGGCCTAGTTCTGCTGAGTCATTTTACAGATGCAGAAACAGAGGCCGAGATAAAGTAAGTGACTCAAGTGGGGTCATGCCTGCTAGGTAAGTAGAAGAACTGGAATGCTGTCTTAGGGCCCTTTATTTCCACGTCACAGTTTCTTTGCCATTGCACTCTGCAGACTGTGGTTGCTGTTCCTTGCTACCAGTGTTTTCACGAGGGGCAGGAGCAGGGAAAATTTCTAGCACTTAAGGCAGCTAATGAGTGATGGATCCCTTCATAGAGTTTTTAAACAATGCAGCCCTCTTCTATCAGGTTGGAGTCACAGGGGGCCTGATCCTCAATGGCCTTTTGAGGAGCTCTATGGTTTGAATGGGGTTTTGGGGAATCTGATTTGTGTCCGGGTGGAAGCATGAAAGGCATCAAAGGGCTCAGGGCATAAAATCCTCTTGGAAATTTTTCAGGCCTCAGCAAAAAAGAGGGCAGAGAAAACCTCTCAGCTCCTACAGTGAGGCTCCAGGAAGCTGCACCTCATTCCCAGTCAGGTGCGGGGTCGGAGGGGTTAAGGCTAGTGCAGTGTTAGGAGAGGCCTAAAAGATGATCTAGTTCTGTGGATATTGGGCCCAAGGTTCTCAGAGTGGGAAGGTTGGAAGGGCCCTGATTCAGTGGTCAGGGCAATATTTTATTTCTTAAAAATGTCCATTGCTAAGTAAGTAAATAAGCAAAGTACATAAATAAATAGGCAAACAAACAAATAAATCATTGTTATTAGACAAAGAATTAAGTTAGAATAACTGGATTAAAGTCTCTGGTCTTGATAGCATGACTTGAAAAAGTCACTTAACTGTTCTAAGTAGCATATTTGTGGGCTTATTTATTTATTCATTCACTCATTCGTTCATGAAGGCTTTTCACTGAACGTGTCAAGTACAGTGGCATGCACAAAGAATAATTAACATATAAACCCTGGATGAACCCACATTCAACACATTTCTCAGGAAAGCAAGACCATGCCGCCTTTACTCAGGATGGAGTACTGAGAGAGCCCACCAGGGGGCGCGGTGGACCGGGATGCCTAAAAACAGCGAGGGACAGAGGATGCAACCTGGTTGCCAAGGGCCCTAACCGGTTCTTGAAAGTGTTGGATTTGGCCAACAGTGTTTTTTAAAGAGGTGATTTAGTTGTCAGTTTGCAAGATTTCAGATAAAACCTTAGACTTAAGTCTTTTCTTGGAAGGCCTGGCTGTACAGGGTCTGCATTCCTGCCTGACAGCCATCAGCAAGAGCTGAGAAGTGGCTGCCCTTAGATGAGCCCCATGTTTTCGGGTTTTATTTTCTTCTCTCCATCCTGCTTCATTAATATACTATAGTTGTCTTGCCCCTCTAGGTATTTGAGATGGTGACCCTGGTGAAGGCCTGAGCTGAGTGTGCTGGGGCAGCAACCTTGTTCTTGACTTACCTATCCTTGGGGTAACCACAAGGATAAAGCTCACAATGCTGGAAGCTATGGCCTCGGGAGCAAGGTCCAGGCGGGAGTGAAGGAGCCTCGAGGTAAACGGGTGGAGAGCGGGCCCAAACAGAGACCTGCGTGCATCTCCCAGAACGTTTTCTATTTGCAGAGCTGTGCGGAGCAAGCACTCTGAGAAGGGGACTTGAGAGCAGGGGACAAAGTGAGCAAATATTAGGAAGCTGTTACCAGCTGTCACATACCTTGTTTGGTCTTGGACTTGAGCCAAAAGGAACAATGAGGAAGGGCACCTGAAATCAACGCTTGTCTAGGAGGCTGACTGCAGGTCCTTGGAATAAGATTTTTGCAAGGGTGCCGGGAGGAAGGTCAGAGTTTATAGGCTCCCAAGGAAGTCCTTAAGATTGCACCTGCTGGATTCTGCTTGGCAGTTTGAGATAGCTGCAACCTCCTAAGGCATCAGTAAACAAAGGGAACTAGTCTCTTGGTTATAGACATTGATTAAGTTCCCAAAGGATTATGAGAGGTTAAAAAAAATGTTTCAGATCACCTGGACTAGAGTATGTAAGTTGGCCACCCACAGGGGATTAAACACATTTTTTTTTAAATTTACATGTTTTAGGAATTAGGAGGTCTCACATAGATCTCAATACCTGGCTTTTCTTGGAATACATGATACTTTGGCAACATGGGGCCTACATTTCTGCAGGGCAACTGCAGGCTGGGGCTAAGGAGAGGCTGCCCCTGTAGAGGAGCCAGTACCTCTATTTCTTCATAGTCTCTACCACTCCCTATTGTCTTAGTCTTGGTTTGCCTCACTCATTTATCTACTCGACCATGGGAGGGATTTGAAATGATGACTCTGATTTAGACTAAACATTTTCAACGTATTTGTTAGCCCATGGGAAACTGTCAGCTGATGCATTTTTGTTGGGAGCCCTTTATAGAAAGTAAAAGGGAAGCTGCTTGGGGAGAAGCAGGGTGGGCTTGCTCATCATGCCCTCTACTTCTCCTTTGGGGGCACCTGCTGTAAGTCTGAAAGCTCTGGGAAGCATATGCCTAAAGGCTGCTGAAGTATCCAAGCCCATCACTGCACAGATGAAGAATCTGAGGCTCAAAGAAAGGGAGAGGCTCATCATCTAAGCTCAGAGAGTAAGTCTGTGCCTGAGCCCAATCTTGAACCCATTTCTCCACATTCCATGTTTATCCTTCTTCCTATTATACAAGAGGTAGCAGATAGTTTTTAATTCAGATTTGGACTCCTGGAAACCAGAGGTGCTATTAAATTGAATCCTCTGTGGCTTTTTCTGGGCTTGGTGGGAGAGAAGACTGAACTGATTAAGAATGTCTGCCTTGGGTAGAGGAAAGAGTCATGGGATTCATATCGTGTATTTACCATCTGTGTGTAATACCATTCTGCTTGCTGCTGTAATCTGGGAAAGCACTTCCCTGTGGGTCTGGAAGGAATGTTCTCTCTACCTTTAAAATTGGGCCTGATCCTGGCATCATATCCGGAGGTTCTCCCCATTAGCTTATCCAGGAAATCCGAGGGTGACATAGGCTTGGGTGCAGAGCGGGCAGCTTCAGCCTCCTTAGAAGCAGCAAGGCTAAGGAGGAAGAGAGGAAAGCAAAAGGTTACTGACAGCTCTTTCTCTTGGCTGTGATCAGATCCCAGCCTTGTCCAACCCCTGTAGAAACACAAGAGTGCCCTTAGTGGGAGAAACAGGTTATATGGGTCTTTAGTGAGGTAAGGCCCAGGTTAAATTGTTTACCCAGCCCAAATATCAGCCAGCATGGGATCCTGGCAGGCAGCTAAGTGTCTGCTGAGAAGCCACTGACATTTTTAAGGCTTCATCTCTGGGATTTTGAGTAATCACACTTGGCAGCTGGGTCTCCCTGGGAGAGGAGGTTGGACGGTTAGTCTTTTGGTAGACCTTACCCTGTGTTGGGCACCTGTACTCTCATAGGTCCATGGAGCAACACAGACAGAAGGGATGTTATAGATCAAGTAATTTACCATTTCCTCAAGGTTTATCTTCAGAATCAAAGTCACCAATTTTTTAAAAAGTTGCTAAAGTCAGATGCATTCTGGAACACAAATTTTATCAGGCATTTTTACCTCAAGTCTCTTCAGAAGCTTTGACAAGCTTATATGCTTATACTTATGGGATCACCGTCTCAAGAAGCATACACTTCAGAAAATCTCACTTGGGAAACTGAGGCTCAGTTAGCGGAAGGGACTGACAGAGGACCCAGAGTAAATTAGTAGTATCCCACTTCATTGTATCAAGGGTGAGGTGATTTCAAATCAAACTGTGGGGATGCTTCATGATATTTCTGTCACCTCTCCTCCACCCCACACCCATTCAAGTAAGTGGCTTTAGGGATTCTTTCACACCACAGTATGAATTACTAATGCATTAAGAACATGAGCTTCCCTCTGTTGAGCTATTTATTTACTTCTTTTTTAAGTTTGGGGACACATGCACAGAGTACTCAGGTTTGTTTTACACAGGTATGCATGTGCCACGGTGGTCTGCTGCACCTATCAACCCGTTATCTAGGTATTAAGCCCCATTTGCATTACGTATTTGTCCTAATGCTCTATCTCCCCTTGCTCCCCAACTCCGAATAGGCCCTGGTGTGTGATGGTCCCCTCCCTGTGTCCATGTGTTCTCATTGTTCAACTCCCACTTATAAGTGAGAACACATGGTTTTTGGTTTTCTCTTCCTGTGTTAGTTTGCTGAGAATGATGGTTTCCAGCTTCAACCATGTCCCTGCAGAGAACATGAACTCATATTCATCATTTTTTATGGCTGGATAAATATTCCATAGTGTATATGTACCACATTTTCTTTATCCACTCTATCATTAATGGGCATTTGGGTTGGTTCTAAGTCCTTGCTATTGTGAGCAGGGCTGCAATAAATACACGTGTGCACGTGTCTTTATAGTAGAATGATTTATAATCCTTTGGGCATATAATGAGATTGCTGGGCCAAATGGTATTTCTGGTTCTAGATCCTTGAGGAATTGCCACATCAAGCTCTTAAAGCATATAGATTTCAATAAGAGTCAGTGTTGGAGGCTCAAGGGTTGAAGAACACTAATTTGGGTTGCTTTGGGCAATGGAGGTTTGCTGGTACTGAAATTTTTTCCAGGAGATAGATAGCTAGGAGCCATGAGCAGCACTGACATGAGCTTGTGAGGCTGGAATGTTGGAGGAAATGCATAGAGATGTGTGTGTGTGTGTGTGTGTGTGTGTGTGTGTAAGGTGGAAGCTTCTGTCACCTAGTCAAGCAGCACATAATATTCCCCAAGGATTTGTACCCAACCTGTCTTGTTTTTCCTCTCAGCTTCTTTTCTGGTCTCATCAGTTGTAACTGTTTAAGCAATCAGTTAATAATGGATGAGTCTCAAATCTGTCACCACACTAGCCTCTTCCTTAAAACCCCCTTCCTCATTTGCAAACACCTGAGGGACACATTTATCTCAATGTTCTGCTAGTGCCTCAAATATATCCCCCAAACTGAACACTACAGCTTCCTTCCCAAACTTGCTCCTTCAGATCTGTTTCTCCAGATGATGTCAATATACTTCCACTCTCTAGGATTAGAAGCCTCAGAGCCATCCGGTCATCTTGTCTCCTTGCTTCCCCACACCCCCATCCCCCACAAGCTCACTCATCAGGTGCTGATGTAGTTATCTGAGTTTGTGTTTTAAGAGCAGGAATCATGGTGGTTTTATTTATTATTTGTTTGTTTGTTCTTTCATTCCCTGCTGTGTCTACCATGGTGTTTCATACTTAATTGGTGCTCAGTAATTGCACAGTGAATGAATGAATGAATGAATGAATGAATAATGTGCTACTTTAATTAATCAAATATTCTGGCTAGTAAAAAGTGTTCATAAATATTTATACATGGATCAACAATTTTAAAATAATTAGACTATTATACACAGTAATGGAAAATACTGAAAGCAATGTGGTATTGCTTTGAAGATTCAGAAGGTAGTCTAGGAGTATTTAGACACTGTTGCTTAATAATATGAAGATCCTTACTCATATCCTGGGGAGCTAATTTTGATGGACAGGATGAGGAACAAATGCACTAGTTTCTTTGTGTGTGTCTATGGATGTAGGTGAGTTTGTCTGATGTGGGTGGGTTTCTAGGTATGATTGTATATATGTGTTACGTACACAGATGGATGGTTGTGTATGGACGTATGTGGGGATTAGAGTGTGCATGGGGGTGTTTGCAGGTGCATAGAGAATTGGGTCACATAGGTTTGTATGTGCAAAATGTAAATTTCTGTGTTCATGTGTATATACGTTAAGCATGGCATTTAGTATGGGCATTTTGTGTGTATATGTGAGGTGTATGTATAAATGGGATATAGGGTGTGAATGTGTAAAATGCTTCTGTAGATTTATGTCTGTAATGTGCATATTGCATGTGTTTGTTTTTGAAATGTACTGTGAAATATAATACAGAATAGTGTAAAAGAGTGAAAAGAACAGATGATTTGGGATTCATCCTGTCTTAGTCATTTATTAGCTGTGTCACCTTGGAAAAGTTACTTAACCTGTTTGAGCTTTAGTTTTCTTACCTGTCAAGGAATTTTTTTGCACGAGGAATAACTGAGGTAGCACAGTTAAAAATACCTAGGACTGTTCTTAGAACACAGTAAGCACACAATACATTGTTTTTCTCTTGTGGCGTGGTGTGTGTATGTGGGGTGTGTGTGTGTGTGTGTTTGAAGCAGTTCACAGCAGGTCTGAGGCTGCTCCTTGTCTCACACGGCTTTCTGCTGCACCGTGAACCCCACATGGTTGGAAAGCCCTCCCAGGTGCTTCCCATGGCCCACAGTTTTCTCCATTCAGCACCAGACTCATGGCTGCTATGTGACTCTGGTGTGGGCAGAGGGGACCACAGGCATGTAACTAGTGATTTACGACTTTTCTGCTGTTATAATTCACTTCTAGAACCTCTCTGGGAGTGGCAGTTATGACACTTTCATAAGCTCCCGTACTCCCTCCAGCCCCTCCTCTGGGATAATAAGATTTGGGAATGTAGTACTTCCTCCCAGCAGTTCCTGGAGCACAAGCAATTTTTTGCCCTTAGGCCTCTCTCATAAGCCTGAATCCTATTAGGCAGTATAGTGGGAGAATGAATTCGCCCCAAATTATCCCATACCATTTGCTATTAGCATAACATGACATTTAATACCAGAACCCTCCCCAAAGCTGAAGAGTCTTCTGGTTATTCTAACCTGTATGTCTGCAGTAAGGTATTTGCAGTCTGGTCACCCAGCTGCTGGCTCACTTAAAACCTTGGCACTGAGCCGAAGTTGAAGGAATGAAGACTCTGGGGGGTTAAGTAACTGGCCTCAGGTCACACCGCACTTTAAAGAGAGAAGGGATTAGAACTTCAATTTTCCAGTGTGGACTCGTACAAATGCTACAACGTGTGGGAAAGTCATCTGCAAATTGTGAGGAGGATAAAATCATGAGAGTTATGCTATTATTAGTATTTGTTTCTGAAGCTTGTTCTACCCTGTTATATCCAAGCAAATCAAAACATGTGTCTGAATTCTAGCAATCTGTATATACACTGCTCTGAATTTACCACACTTAAAAATGGAGAAGAAATTGTTGTGAAGTACCCAATGATTCTCTGTTTTGTCAAGTGATTCACAGTAGCATATTTTGAGAATCTCCAGTTCAGCCCCTCCTGTATATTCTTTACCAGCTGTTTCCTGGTGTCACTTTCATAATTTTTGCCCTGTTTGTTCACCACCTCTACTATTATTCACTTAATTATTTTCATTAAATTGCCTCTCTTCTTCTAAATTTAGATTTATTTAAAAGGGAACTATGTTTCACTACTCACAAATAGAAATCTAGTATTACTAGCCATAATGGGAGAGAACCATAACAGCAAATACAATGGCAACAAGACAGAAAGATAAGAGTTTACAATTCTAGTGATCTGCTGCTTGCCAATGTTCTGAGCCCAAGGCCTGCACTAAGTTACAAAGAAGTCTAGCAAGTGTTGGACAGGCGTTAGAGGCATATTAGCACCTAACAAGACTTCTGGAGATAATAAAGACTGGAAAAGAATGGGCTCACTAATAATTTATTGTTATTGTGTCAATCACTTAAAATCATCCTCCTCCTTCACTATGCCCTAGGCCAAAAGTTCCCAACTCTTTTCCAAATACAAAGGCTCCATATTAATGCGAAAGTAGTTATGCCTCTCTCCACTTGATAATCCTTGTACATTTCTGTCTATATTTAGATAGTACAATTTGCACAGGATTATTCAACCCCCTCCCACCCTGGTGAATCTGATGTGCCGTGCATCTGTGTAGAGTAAATATGCATTTGGGAGCTCTTTTAGTACCACAATTCCCAGTTAACTTAAGCATTTGCTTATAGACCATGAGCTGCTGGACAGAGGAGCTGGGAATGAATCTGAGAAATGAAACACTCAATTGTTAAAATTTTTTGAACTTATGAAAGTATTTGGAAATGATGCAGTTGTTTTTCAGGGATTACTAAGATATAATGGGTGAATCAGACTCAGTTTAGAAAAATTTGAT